GTATACAACATTGTATACAACATTACTCTTCTTGTATAAGTGCAAGAAGAAGCATAAACTGATTCTATGCAGTGGGACATAGCACTTAGTGTCTACTACATAGCTAAGAAAGACATGGCTTTATATGATGATGTAGTATGTGCTTGGTAGGCTGAATAAATTGGGTTCAATCACCCCATTTGTTTTGCTTCTGACAATAGAAATATAGTCAATCAAATAAGACGACAAATGGAAAAAGCATTATTTCAACTTAGTGCTGATGTTAACAAATGACTCGCTGTTCCCTATTGGATAAATACATTATTTTAAAAAAGCATTTCTTCAGAGCAAGCACGTAAGATTTATTTAAGATATGGAAAATACAGAACAGCTCTATTTTTATAATGTCGTAGAAGGAAAAATACATTTTTCATGAACGGCATTATCCCCCTTATTAAAGTATTTAAACATCGGAAATAGAAGTAGTGGGCGGACACAGCGTATTTTAATATCTATCATTGTCATGACTAATTTATTAAAATTTTCTTTTTGTTTTGTCAGAAAAAAAAAGTGTTTATGAAACAGTAATGCTGATTTGAAAAAAAAATGTCCTGTTAAATTAATGACAATTTTAATGGAGTTTAGTTGTTTTTTTTTTACTTTGAAAAAGAAAAGACTAATCTAAAGAAATCAAGATTAGCTAAGGATGTCATGTATTGGACGTATAGATGCGACGGTCAGCGAGGTTATGCCAGTAAATTTCTTCGTTGCTAAATCGAAAAGTACTGAGTTCGAACCCCTGGGCAAAATATAACAACTGCTGCTTTGTAGTTTGATCTTAGATGGACAAAAGGGTATAGCAGCATATCCATTAAGAAAAGCAAGCTGAAATCGGAGTAAATATATAGCCTGTATGCTTACAGAAATCTAATGTTCACTTATTTCTGCTTTATAAAGCAAATGCAAAGTCATTTTGTCAGGTCTTGATTAATAGAAAACCGTTACATTTTTAAAAAATATTCCCAAACATTTTCAACTTTTTGAACGATCTAAATGAGTGCATTGCGATATGTATTGCGACGTGAATCAGATTTGGCTGCCAATGACGTTTATCTTTGTCAAAAATAACTATGTTGTTATTGATGTCATCTATATTCGGAGATATTTTCCTGTTACAAACTCCAGTGCAAGCTTAGTGCAATCCTATTATAACTTACTTTGTTTTTTATTTTTGTATTCGGCAGATTTTTATCCAATGTTTTTACGTGTGTATTAAGAGCCGCTTAAAAAAACGAATATGGGAAACAACTCGAATGTCAAGAAGTTTAACGTGACCTGGCTAATGATTCATGACTCTGTACTGGGTCGTGACCCACCGTTCACAACTACAGTACACCAGCTCTCAAGAAAAGTACAACCATGTTTGTTTTCCTGCTCACTCTATTGAAAACGGCATTCGAATATGTATTTACCGACGTATATTTCATTTATTTAATCAAAGTTTAAAATTAGACCAACTGAAAATTTGAGAATAATACTATAATACTAATACGAACTAAATCGACCCTATTTTGAAGAACAAAAAAGTCGTTGAAAAGTAAAGAAAGTTCTTTACAAAATATTTCGTTTATATTTTTATTGAATAATAAATATATAATTCCCAACAATCAATAAAAATCGTTATTCTAAATAAACATGCACACGAGATAGCAAGCCGGAGTCACTAGCGATAATTACGAAGCCCGGCATTGATGCCAAGAAAAGCATAAGGCATACACATTTGTATCAGCGTTTTGGCAGATGAAGAACCATTTATCAAGGAAATCTGTGAGACGCGCACAATGTAAACCTGTCTAACTAGTTGGATGGAACAGGGGCAACAAGTCAAGAGGAAAGATGGGGTGAAGATACTGCGCCATTTTAAATGACGGCGGACGATCTTGACGGCACGCATCTTTCACGCTAATATTCTAGACGTTTGGCGCACCCATGCAGGCGAACCAATTATCCATTTCATTATTTTCACGACATCGGCAGCGCAGTGGTAGGAGGAGCAGATAATCATTGCGAAACAGCATGAACCGTTCGTTCTAATAATTTAAATTGTGTAGGTTTAACACACAGAAAATCTACGTATACATTAGAAAACTAGGAAAAAGAAAAAAAATATGTAAAAAAACAGGTAAACCCATATTCTTTTCTCTCCATTATATCTTTTATAAAACAATTAAAGTTTTAAACGTGTGATTTTAAAAACTTCTTCATTTACATACAATAAACTTTTTTGTACTTCTTTGGGTCTATTTTTCTCTTGTTTAGTCGACTATTGAAAGGATTTGATGATGCTCATTTAAAATGTTAATTTTTGGTTAATTTATATATACAAATGTTTTGTAATAGAATACAAAGTTGTTTTCTCTCTAAACCCCCACTCCTCAAAAACTTAATTAACTATTGCTAAAACGAATTTACTACATTTCATTGAACGGCCATTGCCTGGAGTTACTTTTTACATTCCCTTTCTTCCAGTAATAAAAACAGGTAATGATAAATTGTTTAAATTATCTTCTTTCTTAAATTGATATTCTCCAAAGGCGGCGCAGGCCAAGAAGATGTTTGTTTAGTCTGTCACAACGCCGGGGGGCGAGCCGTGCCAAAAAGCTTGGCCTTTTTAAAAACATAATTTAATCATTTTAGGATCAGGCACGTTGTGTTATGTACCTTGATATAACATGAAGGTGATTCTGTTTCCAGCATTACAATGACAGAAACAAAAAAAAAAGTATAAAAAATTCGAAAGTGATATTTTGTCACATCTTGATGTTTTACACCTTCCTGAGTTGGAAAAATTTAGTTTTAACAATATTGTCTGTGTGTGTCTGTGTGTGTTTGTGTGTGTATTTGTGTATGTGTGTGTAGGAGAACACGATAACTTGAGTATAGTTTCAGTTAAGTAGGCCAAATTTCATACATAAGCATCGCATCCAATTTGTAGTTTTCTTCAAATTTTGAGGGATTTCCGGTAACCGGAAGTGTTACTAACTCTACTTCCGGTTTTTAAAATAATACTAACTTGAGTACCGTTTCATTTAAGTGGACGAAATTTTAAATATAAGTATAATATCTTATAAGCAATGATTTTTTTGTTTCACCTTTTGAGTAATTTCAAATAAACAGAAGAGGTATTTTATTCCTCTTTCTTGTGAACACGAAAAGAGTATCGTTTTAGATGGGTGAAAAAAGTTCCTTATCTGTGTATTAGCTCCAATACGTATATTTCTATAACCGTTTGATAGATTTCCGTGAACCGGAACTAGCGGTTTTGTTAAAAATCATATATATTTCTAAAGCCTGATTCCATCCCAAACCTTACTATTATATTAAAACTATATACACATCGCTAATCATCAAGTTGTCTTGAGTGAGTTTCGACCCCCTTATCGATTTGTCCCAAACTGGCCACATTTTTTTCTGCAGTCAGTTCAGCCGTCTAGGACTTCAAAACAATTTATATTAAGCAATGGTCATTCACGGTCAGTTTTCAACCTTCATCAAGATAGCTGACGTCGTCCTGTATGTTTTTTGTTTTGTCTGAGGCCATTGACTATGCCTATGTAAAATATGAGTCCTCTGTTTAGACGTACCCTTACAAATGCGCTTTAGTTTTTACCTTCTGTATTCTGGAAAAAAGTATTACGTTCATAAAGGAAAATACGGCCTTTGGTCAGGTGTATCGGGAAACCACTACTAGTCTACTACTGTACCCGATAAAACAACGTTAAACTATCTTTCAGCACATCCAGAGTTTCTTCCAGGCATCTCTTTGGGGGTGCTTCCCCCCCCCCCCCCCCCCCCGAAGAAAGTCTACCGTCCCAGAACGAAATGAAGTTTATATAGAAAATTTATACTTTTAACCGTGTCCTCGCCCCCCCCCCCCCCCCCCAAAAAAAATATTTCAAGTGCGCCCCCCCCCCCCTCCCGGAGAAAAAAGTCTGGAACAAACACTGAGCATATCACACAGTAACCAGAGAATAGTAGACATCTACCACTTTACCTGATGCTGCGATGCAACTTTAAACTGTCTCACTGCAACTTTCAAAACCACTTTTGTCGCAGAAACCAGTTTATACATGTGTATCATGTATTTAATTTGTACTCTGTCTTCATTAACGAAAAAAACCCAGACGTGCTATAAAGTGACCACACTTATCCACGATCCGTAATATCAAGATCTTCGTTAACAATGTCAGACAGCTGTCATTCTTCTAGTAGTTTACAACACATCACCTGTCTGTCACATTAAAGCAAATGCCTTCCCGCAGATTGGTAAATCAGCTATAATTATTTTAACTAGATCTATATAAACTTGATAGTGTTTGCAGGTAATGTACCGGAACCTTGTGAACCATTATTTTATATGATTAATATCTAAAATCCCTTAACCCTTGGGGGTCGTCGAGGCACCACGGATTTGTATGGCGTGTCTAGGGTTAAGTGTCGCACGACAGGGCCCACCCCTCTCCATGCCTGACCACAGACAGATACCTCCATCTAAATGTCTCGCCTCGGTATAGAGCACTTGGCCGTTGAACTCGCCCTGGCCGGAGACATTTACTGATTTTACATTGATTTTTTTGTACATATATCGAGCTAAAAACAAAACAGGTTTGCGATACCTCACCTGCTCCATGATATGTCAGGTAAATGAAGTTTTATGAAAAAGTGTATCTTCATACACCGATAAAGGGGGTCACTATAAGAATTATTGTATGCACTAGCCATATAGAACGCGAGGGATGGCGAAAAAACAAAAAGCTACAGTGTGATAATGATAGCTCAAGCTTTAAAACTGTTCTCATTTTTTTTTATGAGAAAGCTGCTTTTTGTTTACTCGTGTTGATTAAAAAACATCGTTTTACCTTATCCACGATTTAAAAAAAAATTGACCTAAGTTTTGTATTTCCATCTAATACTTTTGATATCTACACCAAACATAAAAATATGTTAAATATAGCACTCACCAGTAAAATTGGATTGTTTGTGAATCTGGTGTCGTTAGCGTTTGAACCTGGTGGTTTTCGATTGGAGTGGATGTAAGAATATTGAAGCAGCCATCCCTCTAGCTAGCCCACATCAAGCCACGTTTGTGAATCCACTACATCTTCAGTTTCACTTCTGATTGTTACTTATCCATTACCAGTTTTACAAACTGCATGGTTTGGGGTGGTTTCATTCTTCGCTTTTAGCTTCAAAGTTTCTGTAAAAAAAACAGATGCTTGTTTGACATTTAAAAAAAAATAATTAAAATAATTGTGAAAAACAAATACGAATCACGATGAAATAAAATTCGCCGTTATTAATGCATCAATTTCATGCTAATATTTACTGCCACGCTATTGCTCAACAAAATGGAAAAAATACAGAAATTACTTAATATGTAAGTATTTAGCTTCATAGTCTCCTAATCTCTTTAATTAGTTTAATGATGCATTGTGTGATAAAATAATGAAGCAGCCTAGTTAACACATCTTGGGACCAAACATCCAGCATCCCCACGTTTTACTTTTTCTTTAGAAACTGCTACATTCACAACCTCAACTTGATCTATTAATGTTTCGTTCAGCAAGCCAACGATTTGTTGTAGGTCTACAATGTTCCTGATTACGTGCTTTTTCTTAAAAATGAAAGTCTTAACTGATAACTTAGTGACAAAATGATGTGATCCAAAATAAAATAAAAAACAACGTTTCACAAGTTTCATTATGCCCAGTAGCATTACTATGTCGGGTGTCACCTGGTGCAGTTGCTGGAGGTGGAACCCCCACCCTTCTAACAATTTAGCCTTTTTGGTTAGTATCACCCCTCTCCTTACTATTTTATTGTTGCAAATGGGTAAAACAGTATATTTTATAATTTCGGTTTGGTGTCACCCCTCCCCCACACCTAAATGGTGTAGCCCAGTGCGGACCTTCTCCGCCCCCACCTACTGGTTATGCCTGTATAATCTTTCTAGGTATTTAGATTTTTTTCGATTTATAAAAGACTAACTTTAGATTGTTTAGCTGTCACTTCTAATTATTTATATATTCTATGGGATGGTACTGGTGCTAAACAACGTTCAACAGGAACTTAGGCTGACGCCTTCTGCCAAGCTTTGAAACCCATTTTCTCCATTATTACCTTCATGCAGTGGCGTAGCGAGGTCGGGTGTCACCCGGTGTGGCACTAAATGGTGTCACCCCCCCCCCCCCGGAGGCGTAGCGACCCTTCCCGGAGACAAACTTTCGTTTTCGATTTTCACCCCCCCCCCCTCAAGTTTTCGAATTGCACCCCTCAAACTTTCGATTTGCACCCCCCCCTCAAGTTTTTCTCTATATATTTTGCTATTTTTTGCCTTGGTGTCACCCCCCTAAATGGTGTCACCCGGTGCGGTCCGCTACCCCCGCCCCCCCCCCCCCTCGCTACGCCCCTGCCTTCATGACCCTATAGGTTAGGAAGTGGTCACTATAGAGGAATAAAGTATCAGTATAACTTATCATTCTTGAGTACAAAACACTTGTTTAATACAGAAATGTTGTTCCTACTTTCTGACTGACTATAAAATCAATGCACAGGTAAAGACTTGGGCAAATGCTGGCTTGTCTAATTGGAACTGGTATGAGTCATGCGTGCTTTATATTTGTAAATATGTAGATAAAAAAAAAAGAGAGGCTATAGTTATAAACTTCTTGGCCGCCGTACAACTACCTCCTTTCCCAAGATCAAACACCGTCTGAACAATTAACGTTCATCAATGCCTTAAGCTGTGCCGCGTTGGTTCACCAGCCAAGGCAATGGTAATATCAGCACGGTATTGACATGGTTTGTCTACACCAGTGCAGTGATAAGCCTCTTATCAAAAGTTCTTAAAGGTTGCATCGTGTAATTGCACACCGCACACGAAGTCTATGCGTTTAATTAAATAAAAAAAAAAAACAACAACAAACTAAACACAAATCAAGATCGGCATTTATTTATGTCCCGGGGACTAGTGCGGTCTATACAGTGTGTAGGAATGGGTAGTAAACACGGTGAAGGTTTGCGCGACAGGCTGAGGTATCCGAATATCGGGTGAAAGAACGCTTGAGGTCGGTGGTTAACGACTCTTCGCGAGAGCAGCCAACAGCTCACCCGCATGCAAACGTGTAGATAGAAAAGCCACCTGTTAGGCCATGGTTTATCTAAACTATTCCCACTCTCCAGCGCATTAGAGAGATAAAGACTTGTACCCGAGGCATATATATATATATATATATATATATATATATATATATATATATATATATATATATATATATATATATATAGTGTGTGTGCCAGTATGCAGAAATCATTATCTACTTACAACATACTTGTATACTCAACACTTCGATCATAGAATGTTTCAGTTATTTTCAGTGAACTGGCACATAAAACCACAACGTGTCCCCTCCCCCTCCCACTTATGCCCCCCCCCCCCCCTCCCCTCTTCCAAATTTCCCCGACACGTTTATGAATGATTTGCTGTCGTGAGATGCGCATATATATCGAGTGGGTCGGCTGAAAGAAACAGGCGAAAGGGTATCTAAACACACATAGAGAAGAGTGCACAAAAGCCTACGTACTTCGTCGTGTGATTAATACAGTTCAGAAATAGCTTTAGTTGGAAACGAGGAAAGCAACTCTTAAACCATTGGCAGCAGGAAAAAGTAGATACATACTTACAAATTGTAAAGCAGCTGAATTTTGTTGGGTTACAAAAAAAAACAAAAAAACAACTACTATTTAAATAAAATATAGCCCAAAAGTTGCTATTCCACTCTATTTGTCTTGGGTTTTCATCATGAAAAAAATTCACCTTACTGTTTATCATATGGGCTCTACATTATAAAGAGACCACAAACAAGTAGGCCTATTACAAATAAAAAGCTTATTTTATTTAATATTAAACCTCACAAAAGAATATATTCCTAAAAGATTTAGTAACCTACCTGTTCTGCTGTTAAAGAAAGAGCTGAAACTGTTTACAACGGTTTTTACTAAAACTTCTTACTTGAGTGCACTCGGTCTAATTTAAACACTTGAATTTTAAAATAAATCTTCACACTGGCTGATGGAAACAAATCGAAAGTGATTATTCTAGTCCATCAAATATATACAAATATACAAATCCTGTTTACCTAATAGTCTACTATTTTAAAAAAAAAATGTTATTCCATGTTTATAACATTTAATCAGTTTATTTATATTTTAAAAGAAACCTACAAGTATTATTTTCTTTCTTGTAAAATTATTCCAACGGATGCAGTACAACTAATCATGTTTTGGTTTAACCAGAGAGCCGACATCAGCCAGTGCCGAAACACACCGCGGCTACACGAATTAGCCCCCAACGCCCATTATTTATCCGCACGGTTAATACCCTATCACTTCCTAATGGCCAGTACCGACTTCCCCTGGTCAAAACCCCCGATGGACTGGGTCCACGCCTTTTGCGTGTAGCGCCAAATGCAGAGTGGACCGTTGATGAGTCACGGTCACACACACACAGACCCACACACACACACAGACAGCTGTGCAGTAACCAGGTTCTGTACATCATTGTCTTTGTCTGATATGTATCCCACTTTACTTAACGAGACGACGGGATAGAATGGTGAGTCATTGAACACGATCACGCCAACTGCAAAATGTGTACATGTTTCATCACATTCATCGCAGCTCTAGCGTTTGTTCATTAAAAATATAATTCACTGAACAATTTTACGTTTTTAGGTTCGACATTTCAAATATGCTGTAGTTACATGAACAGAAGATTGAATAATATACAAGAGCTACTTATCACTCCGATATACTCACGCAATGACAGTTTACAAAGTACTAAATAGTGAAGTGTAGCATACCTACTCATGTGTTCACAGTTCTCTTACCAACCACGTGTTTTCAACCATCACATTTTTTTAAACAGTTATATATAATTATATATACTTTTACACTAAATGAATATAAGTAAGGTCGATATATTAAACGTTAATATGTCCACTTAATTTGTAATCAAGAAAGAACACTAAAGTAGTGCTATCAATTTTTGTAGTAAAACATACATGAATGGATATAAATTAAGTTTTAAATCACAAGCTGTTAGCATGATAAAAGTGAAAGTAGAAAAAGTATAGGTTATATTCACGTAAAGAAATCCACAGTCAGGACGTTTGATTACACTACTTTTCTTACTCTACTTACGCCAGAATGTACCCAGACACAATACAGCACCACGCCAAACGCTATAAATAAACACGCGCAGCATTAACCAAAGATGGTCGGTCTAGGAGCCAAGGAATCCTGCTGTAGGGGTCCCTCCATCTAGCGGCACCCACGTCTTCAAACACAATCTCCTCCAGCACTAGACTTGTTTGAGCAGTTTCAGTCCCCACTGGCGTCTAGTAGAAAATGTTACTAACCTTCTGATACTCGACTCCTTACTTGGCTGTATAATCAAGGGTTATTGATAAGATGGAGCCGGCCACCGATCAATATGCTGTCTCACTGGCTGGGCCAGGAATATATTTTATTGCAACAAGCTGACCGGCTGCCCCCACCCCTCCCTCCATTATCACACACACACACACACATACACAGACTTTTTCTTTACCCTACGTGCAAAACGAATTGCCACTGTAGTTTTTTGGAATGATTGAAACCCACGACAACAAAGGTTATGATAAATGTACTCCCGATGTATAACGTGTGAAATAGCGACTCGACAGACTGGTTGTTTATTTCAAACTGGACAGCGTGTTTAGACTTTGTGTAAACAAATCTCGACACAGTCGCATAAACCGTTTGTGATTTTTATATAAACAAAACTTGTTAAGGCCGAATGTAACGTTATTTTTTTAAAAAATTATTCGTGTAAACAATATTTGACAGTTGCATATACCCTTTTAGAACGTGCATGCTTAGGCCACACTACTATTTATGTAGGACCAAGGTCACATTTACTGCGCATATGTGTGAGAGATGTCTGTAAGTGTAAGAACGAAGAGAGAGACGTGGGGAGCTAGACGGCGTCTAGAGTAAAAATGTTTATAATTTTTTTTTACAATTAATTTTAAACTAATTAATCATAAACGTTTAATTAGAGCCTACCTACAACACGTGAAACAAAGTTTCCATCAATCACTTTATACAGCAGTGCCAAGAATGGGTTCATACGATCATCAAATGTTCATTAATTGTTTAATATTGTCAAAAAGAATTGGTTCATAATTCACGTATAATTAATAAAATCACTCGTTATACCAGTATCAAGAATGATTAACATCCCTTACTAATCCAAACACGGTCTTCAAGAATAATAATCCCTTCACATTTTTTTTTACTAATTATTACACAATTTTTCACCACTCAGCTCATTAATTAAATTGCAGAAGAATACACGATTAATCACACAATAAAAATCACGGCGACCTCCGCTCAGCAACCAGCCATTAGTTTACAGCTGGTCACGGCTGTGCCATGATCAGCCGGCTCTCCTCTGATCTGACGGGCGGGTTATGACATGAACAATTTACCCCAGCACGGAGCCAGCTCACAACAATGTATACACGATCACCTCACCCCCCACCCCTTGCTTCTTCCTCAGCGGCAGGGCTTTGATAAAAAGTGACGAGATAAGAAACGGTTAGAATCGTTACCTTTGATATTTTCTTTTCAAGTCGAAACCACCGAGTCCCCCCAGTCGGTCATCATTATTTCGGTACAAGCATGCGTAACTTTGGCGAGGGCCGTCTCATATCGTAAGCTGAGTGCGGCTTCGCGTGCTCCTCTGATGTTCTAATTGCAGACGGTGTGTTTGCGCGCGTGCGTGTTTGTGACTGTGTTTGTTTATACCAGTGGTTCCCAAACAGGTTTTTTTTTCTCTCTCTCTCCCTCTTCGTCTGCCCCACTCCTCTTTCGCTACACATTTTCTTAATTGTAGCTCACTATATTATGATTGTTTTGTGATTGTTTTTAACGGATACACGTGTTAATGTAATTAGGTTCAGTTCAGAGACTCGCGTCAAATTTGCTTATAGATGAACATGACAATAACAAAGAGGATAAACTAGCTGCACTTGTCTATTAGAATGATAACCCAGTGAAGAGCTTATCAGTGAAGGATTAAAATATTAATTAATGAAATGCAGTTTTTATCAAGTATTGAGTCATTGCCACAAACAGTTTATGTTGCTACAAAATAATTTTAATATCTTTTTAAGTGTTTAAAATGATTATATAGACAGTCTGTCTTGTAAAATGCTCGTTTAAAACTTGTGTGATCTTGCTGTGAATTTTTTAACACTCAGAAATGGCACTAGATCTAGCTTGTGGTTCACAAACCTACCTTTTACCCTTGTATAGATCTAGCTTGTGGTTCACAAACCTACCGTCTACCCTTGTGTAGATCTAGCTTGAGTTTCACAAACCTACCTTTTACCCTTGTGTAGATCTAGCTTGTGGTTCACAAACCTACCTTTTACCCTTGTGTAGATCTAGCTTGAGGTTCACAAACCTACCTTTTACCCTTGTGTAGATCTAGCTTGTGGTTCACAAACCTACCGTCAACCTTTGTGTAGATCTAGCTTGTGGTTCACAAACCTACCGTCTACCCTTGTGTAGATCTAGCTTGTGGTTCACAAACCTACCTTTTACCCTTGTGTAGATCTAGCGTGTGGTTCACAAACCTACCGTCTACCCTTGTGTAGATCTAGCTTGTGGTTCACAAACCTACCTTTTACCCTTGTGTAGATCTAGCTTGTGGTTCACAAACCTACCGTCTACCCTTGTGTAGATCTAGCTTGTGGTTCACAAACCTACCGTCTACCCTTGTGTAGATCTAGCTTGTGGTTCACAAACCTACCTTTTACCCTTGTGTGAAGATCTAGCGTGTGGTTCACAAACCTACCGTCTACCCTTGTGTAGATCTAGCTTGTGGTTCACAAACCTACCTTCTACCCTTGTGTAGATCTAGCGTGTGGTTCACAAACCTACCGTCTACCCTTGTGTAGATCTAGCTTGTGGTTCACAAACCTGCTTCCTAACATCTAACCTGGGTAGGTGTGGTATAACCGCGGGCAGCGCAGTATTACCGGGACCAAACCATGCATCTTTAGTTTACTGATTTATGTTTTGCAAGTGAGCGATTAGAAAATGTACCAGCTATGTTTAGTAACAGTAATTAAGAATAGCCTTTGAAACAGTATTAATATTAATAGCACGTTGTTTCCCATCTCACGATACCAGTTGTGATCACCTTTAATCTCATTTACATATATTTATACCAACATTCTAATTTTACAAAGAAAAAAAAAAAACAAGCATATCTTTGCTGAAATGTGTTTTTTTACGAATTTTATAACAAAGCTCATTAATACTAATAGTTTCGCTGTCTGTCTATCTATCTATCTATCTGTCTGACAAGAACGCTCTAGAGAAAACACAAGCAAATTAAAAACCTGCATAGTAATTCGAAAAACGAAGTATGACGTCGCCACATTTAGCATCTCAAGCCGGAGAGTGCACACAGTAATATGACGTCATTGATTATCGAGTAAACATTGAATACAAAGGAAATTTTATCTAATCTAAATGGTTTGCGTGAAGATTTTCTTGCATACAATTCTTCGGGTAGGGGCGAACCCCCACCCCCCTCCGCGTAAGAACGTCTGAGCCCCCCCCCCCCCCCTCCCCAACTCAAAAGAAATTTCTTCATCGATACTCTATAATAAAATTACCGCCTAATTAATGTGTCTAATCTAAAAAGTGGTTTTCTTGCAATTTCTTTAATGCAATTCTTCGGGTAGTGGCTAAGCGCGACCCCAGTGTTTCTTTCAGACTTTTTCCTCCCCGGAGAGGGATGGGGGTACTTGAAATTTTCGGGGGCGGGGGTAGAATTTTCGGGGAGGGGGCGGACACTGGAAAAAGTATATAATTATATTTCGTTGAATGGGACGGTAGACATGTTTTTTTAGGGGGTGGGGGGGGGGGGTGGGGGGGGGGGGTAGGTTGGTGTGTGTGTGTGGGGGGTGGGGGGGTGTGTGGGGGGGTGGTTTTAATTTAGACTTTTTCCTCCCCGGAGAAGGGTGGGGGTACTTGAAATTTTCGGTGGCGAGGGTAGAATTTTCGGGGAGGGGGCGAACACTGGAAAAAGTATATAATTATATTTCGTTGAATGGGACGGTAGACATGTTTTTTGGGGGGTGGGGGTGGGGGGTGTTGGGGGGTGGGGGTGGGTTGGTTTTAGTTTAGAGAAAAGAGACAGCACTATCAACCTAGCGCCCGGTGTATCCTTCCTCAACGGGCCATTTTTCTCGTGTGAGATAATCATACTCGTGGAGCACTACCGTCGCTTAACAGTGAAGCTGGGTTTCTTTTAGGCTTCTAGTCGTGGGGGGGGGGGGAGCAGAGGCGTAGGGGGGGGGGTACATAGGTCCCCGGGCGTCGACCTTAGGGGGCGCAAAAATGGGTTGGAAAAACAAATTAAACTCTCATTTTAGCCGCATTTTTGCTTTATAAATATAAAAAAAATATATGAGAGAGGGGTGCAAATCGAAAGTTTGAGGGGGGGGGGGGGGGGGGGGAAAGAGGGGCAAATCGAAAGTTGAAAGGTTGATCCCGAGGGGGCGCCAAATTGAAAGTTTGTCCATGGGCGCCGGGAAGGTTCGCTACGCCTCTGGGGGAGAAGGATTTGGGCATACTTGTCTACTTGTCCCTCTTCCGGACGAAACAGAAACAATAGATAATTATCTAGATAATATATGTACTTTAACTAGTATCTGCCCCGGAGCTTTAAGTGCACCCTCTTCCCGAAAGTTTTAAGTGCCCCCCCCCCCCCCCCCCGCGGAGAAAAATGTCTGAAAGAAAAACTGTAGGGGAGTTAATTATTGTATTAGTAATGCTATGTAGTACACTACAAGTAGAGGTTGTACTATTGTATCATCTGCCCCGGCTAGACCGTGATATAGGAAATAGTCTCTTCCGGCATTTAAAAAAACCCAATGTAATGTTATGAACGTGTGCTTGTTTGATGTACGTTATTTAGACACTTGAATGGCACACATATCTGCCCCTCATTGTTGCCTCCGTGTTATTGCCTTTCAGGCTCATTTGTTTTCATTTACACGGTTCACTCGTGTAAACAATTCACACGAACAAGTGCATCTGCTCTTAAAATATTTGTTTTAGCGCTGCTCGCGTTTGAAAAGTAAATAGATGCTTTGCTTTAATACACCTGTTAGATATTAAGTTCAGGGGCGTTGTCCTGTTTTTTTTGTGTATATGGGAAATGGCTAGTGTATAGAGCGGGCGTCAAACTTCTATTTTTCTCTCTATCTCTCGGTCAGTATTGCCCCGACAAAAGGACCCCGACAAAAGAACTCCAGGATTTAAAAAAGCTTCTGACATATTTACTTCCTCGACATATCCGCCCCCGACGGATGGGTTTCCGATTAAAGGGCTTCCGACAAGAGGGTTCCCGACAAATGGGCTCCCGAAAACTGGGCTCCATACAAAGG